GTATTGTATATTGAGGTGGCTCACAACATGGCATTTTGTAAAACCATTTTTACAATTAATTTACATTTTGAAAACGCATTTTTATAATCCTTTTTTGATAACCATTTTCGGTTCTGAAATCGATTTTAAAACCCCACTTTCGTTTCTCTGTTCTGTTTTTATTTTAAAAAAACAATTGTTAAAAGCCATTTTCGTTTTTAAAATCAGTTTTCAATTTTAAAATCTATTTCCGTTTTTAAAATTCACTTTGAAGCAAATTTTTCATCAGAATGTACTGAAAAACCACTGTTGTTTCCGCCTATCGCATCAACTTTAACATAATAATTGTTTTTAATGAGATTCTCATTTTATTCGATTTGTGTTTTCAATCTCATTTCAACTTTAATTTTAAAAATTCATTTTAACTTTTTGACCTGTAACCTCGCCCTCTGACCTCACACCACGTGACTAGAAATTGTAAATCGGCAGTTTTTTTCTATTTCTACCAGCGACGTTTCCATGGTAAGACTTCTTTACCTAAGTTCTTCTACAGGCTATAATCTATTTAGCCATGGTTTCACGGCATTTTGGGGGTGATTGGGTTCATAGAGGGTTCATCTGTCGCCTCACACTGTGGAAATTAGTCAGAAAGGTTGCAAACTTTGATAGATCCGTGTATAAGTTGGAAAGTTAGTTAGTTGGAAAATTGGGTTGCCAACTTTGGTGGGACCGTGTATAAGCTGGAAATTTAGTTCGTTGGAAAGTTGGGTTGCCACCTATGGTGGGACCGCGTATATGTTGCAAAGATGGTAAGTTGGAAAATTGGGTTGCTAACTTTGGTGGGACCGTGTATATGTTGCAAAATTAGTAAGTTGGACAACTGGTCGCCAACTTTGGTAATACCGTGTATATGTTGCAAAATTAGTAAGTTGGACAACTGGGTTGCCAACTTTGGTGATACCGTGTATATGTTGCAAATTTAGTTAGTTGGAAAATTGGGTTGCAAACTTTAGTGGGACTGTGTATAAGTTGGAAAGTTAGTGAGTTAGTTATTTGTGCAACTGGGTTGCCACCTGTGGTGGGACCGCGTATATGTTGCAAAGATGGTAAGTTGGAAAATTGGGTTGCTAACTTTGGTGGGACCGTGTATATGTTGCAAAATTAGTAAGTTGGAAAATTGGGTTCCCAACTTTTGTGGGACTGTGTATAAGTTGGAAAGTTAGTTAGAGGGAAAGTTGGTTGCCAACT